TTAAAAACTGTAAACCGTTAGCTTATAATAACGATTTATTTAATCTTTGATTTTTAAAGTAGAAATTATTGTATAACATTTTTGTTGGTAGGTTGTTGTTCGACTAAAAACTATTTTTCATTTTTTTTGGCATTTTCAAGGCTATGTTTTTATAAACTATACTATTATAATAAAAATAATTAAAATAGACATTTTATTAAATTGTTAATTAAGTTAGAATAAATTTGTAAATAAATTAAATTTTTGTACTTATAATGATTTCGTTCTTAAAACAAAACACGATGCGTGCTTATGTTGTTACGCCGTTTGCTATCTTAAAAAAAAATGAAATATGTCCAAAAATCAGTCATTTCAATTTGCTTGCGGGATACGAAGCACACGTTCAAAACCTTTGAAATTCAATTCGTGTAAAGCAGATAGACAAGTGCGGAGCCATATTGGGCCATGTGGGCCACGGGTTGATCACTGGCCGTTAAAATCGACACTTTGTGCTTAGGGTTTTTTCGAAATTGTTCTTCGACACAATCGTTCTAAGTTAAAATGTTGGTATCTAGAAAAATGTTTTGAACTTCACGCTCGATACTAGTGTGAAACACTGCTTCGTACACTTGGCTTCCAGCATGAAACGAAATATACCTACGTTATATTTCGGAACTAATACGCCTCATACGTCCTTAAAAGTCTAATAGGCAAACACTAACACGTTAGCACTCCGCTGTCACGAAGACGTTACCATTAAAGTGCTCCCATTCAGGAAATCCGTGCTATTTTCTGTATCATCGGGCAGAACTGCTGACAACTTCCAAAGGGTACACAAACTGAAATGATTTGAGGAAAGGATCATCCTGATAAAAGAGGATGCTAAAACTAAATTTTATGTCTATGTTTTCGCACAATCATACCCTTGAGACATTTTCATTGATTCTGATAATAATAATATTAGATTTAGAAAGAAGTTTGGCGTTAATTGCTTTCTAAAAACAGAAACAAGTAACACTTCGACCCTAGCAGGTTATGCTAAGTTATAGGTCCGATGCTACTGTTAGGCACTGCTTCAGGCAGCTAGGTCTCCAGCGCAAAATAAACTGTGTTTATACTTACGTTCGGACCTATGCCGCTTCGGGTATACATTAATTTAGCAGAGTTTTATCCAGTGATTATGGTATGGATCTTAGGCCACGCGTGCATCGCATTAAACGAAATAGTTGGGAGACATGCCTTTGTTACTGCACACTTAAAAACTTACATTTCGCATTTTGTTATGGGTTAAGGGGGAGGTCGTGTAACGTCTAAAGCAAAAATTTTGACTTGGTTTTTCAGTATCATAGTGGTTGAATCATCACTGAGAACCAATCGACATCTGATTCAACATCTATGGGTAAGTTGTGATAATAGGATATTGCCTACGGTTAGCGTGGTAGCAGATCCCTTATTACACTAATAACGGTCTTTTTGCAATGTCCATTACACATATGAACTAGAGCCGAAAAAAAATATGTTGAGAAATTCTAACCAGATTCAAGCGCAATTTATAGGAGTCCTTAGAAACTATAGCGAAAATATCTACGCATAGAGAAATTCTTAGTTACGGAAGGGTACAAAACATCTTGTTTATACGTCTAGAATATGTATTTAATAATATCTATGCTAAATACAAATATCAACATTTTTTGGTACATATGTTCACTGATCTGATGTGTTTACGGCATAGTAGAGCTTGGCACACAGATATGGACCCCAGACATCGAAAACACTGCATCGGAGGAGATAAATATTAACTCGCTTTTAAAACTTCGAAAAGGTACCAAGTTATAACGGCTTGATTGTAACGACGTCCTTCATGCGGTTTTCGATTAGCACCTGCTCTAGACTGCTCATGACGTACAGTGGCTTGGCAATAATTCACTTTACTATGACTTGAAGTTTCGCTTAGTCTGTCATAAATATATTCTTTAAATATATTAAATATCATAAATTGTAGCTTTAAGACGTTGTTGTGATCTGAAAGGTTTTAACGAATCGTCGCTTCCAAGTATTTCTTAGGGCACGGGTTTTAAAATATAAAACTGAGAGAAATAACTGATATTCCGTACATATGCGCATTTCCTTTTTTGTGGCCCTAACAAAAACTCTAAATTTTTGCAAAAATTAGCGTACAGGGAATATATTATCATATGACTCTAACAAAAAAAAACCTAGCATTTACAGGGTAAAATTTTTATTTGAAAAAAATTAATTTATGTACAACATAGTCCGGATGCACTGCTACCAGCTGAAAATAACTTATTTACACTATTAGATTCCTATATCTTTCACTTCGGCCCATCCGTCCGATTTGTCTTGCACTTCCTCGTTTTTAATGAGAAACAACCCTGTGACGTGTTTGTATTTCGTAATATCCTTTACGCCCTTGCCTGGGTTCGCGCTTTGATTTCCAGTCGACCTATCCATTACACGTTGTTATTTGTTGCAAATTGAAATGTTGGCGCCAAACTGCGTCAAGCGAATTAATGGAACACACCGGAACTGTCTCCAATCCCAATAAACATTTTAATAATCGCCTAACGCCTAATTATCACTAAGAAGTCGCATATAATCCAAATAAGCGCACTCGCACCCGATTGCAAATTCATCAAATCTAATCCATCAGCAGTGGCAACATTGGCGCAAGTTTGTTTAAGCAGTTACTCTTCCCATAGCGTTACCGCGTGTGCTCGGAAGCGAACTCAGTGTATCTGTGAAATGACCACTTTTGCCGAGCGCCTTCTGAGCATTGCACGACGAATACTTGTTCCAGATCGTAGGCCTCAGCTTCTACACATAGACCCGACTGTTTGTGAATGATAGGTCCGTGCTTTACATGCGTCCATAGTTGGTCCCGGTGAGGATGTTCTTCACATTTCTCCATGACGATTTTTCCTTTTTGCCGATACGAGTCAACAAATTCTACTCTAGCACAAACGTCATCTCGGCGAAGTTCGCCTTTTTTCGAGAGTGACAACAGCTGATTGGTGGCCTCATCGGCAACAGGATGACATTGAAAGATACCGAGATCAGAGGTGTGGTCCTCAGACTTGCCGTAAGTGTCTAGACATGTGTTCGTCTCGGGATTCTTGATAATACCGTAACCTTGCGAATGTTGTTCCATAAGATATTTGTGTGGATACACATTTTCAAGGTACCACTTGAAAGGTTTACATCCGTTACGCTCACGGAATGATTTGCGGCTAGAGATATCGCCCACATTTAGGTCGATGAGCTCCGGCCGTGTCTGGTAGAAATACTTTTTATAGCTATCCATCCAAACTTCAACAGCTCGTTTCGTGTTAATGGCATTCGTGTCTTTTCCTCCTGGGAATTTGTAAGGGTGATAGTCCCGGAAAATATGGCCGACATGCGAGCATGGCGCAATCAAGATTTTCCCCCCACACTGCCAAATGCGGAAAGACATCTCAAGATTTTCACCGCCCCAGCCGTCCATTTCCTCATCGTACGAGCCGCTCTCCCAGAAGTATTCTCTGCTGATAGCAAAGAGGCCACCTGCCATTGTGGGTGACTTCATAGGTTCGGCCATCGAGGCACGATTCATTTTCCACGCACTGGGTATATTATGCCAAGAGAACTCTCCCCGCCAATTGAAGCCTCCAATCTGGAAATGGTCTCCTTCGGCTGCCACGTACTGCAATGTTTTGTCATCGATAATGTCAATTACGGGACAGACAACAGCTGTCCGATCGAGGTAAATGGGGTGAAGGAGTGGCTCTAGCCAACCGTCCGTCGTTTCGCAGTGAGAGTCCAAGAAGATCAGAACGTCTCCCTTAGCCATCCTGGCTCCAGCAAGACGGGCCCGGATTAACCCTGACCGCTTTGGCAATCGGATAAGATGAACAATACCTGGCCGGAAGTGGTGGACTAAAAATTGCTCCAGCCGTTTTTTAAGATCGTTTCGTTGGCTAAAATCATCGACGAGAATAATTTCCTTTAGGAGACGCGGGGGAGACCTGGTGATCGTTGTGACAACAGTCCTGAGAAGGGTTGAGAATATTTCATCCGTGAAAATAATAATAACTGAGGCTGTAGGTAGCTTGTCTAAAGGATAGTCGACGATTCTGCAATCGCGATGTCGGGTGTCCGGGAGCGATCGGTTTAACGGCATACGGTCAGATACGAACACATTGAAAGCCGCCAAAGAAAATTGGCGGTCAGCTTCAGCCTGTTCTTCGTCATTGAGTTGAACTCCTTGACCCTGCACTCCCCAGGATGGTCTAATCTGATTGAAGAACCATTGTTCGTTAGCTGTAGGCCCCACAGGAAGTATGCCTGGCAGCTTCTTATGAAGCAGGTCGGTGGCATCGATAGACCGCTCGAGCTGAGCCACAACTTTTTTTTGGCGTTGTTCAGCAAGATACTGTTCAAGGTATTCGGAGCCGGAACCGCTACGACTGCGTGTTTTTACGCGTTTGTGCAGAACGACAAGGCTGAAGACACCTATCATGATAAGGACACTAAGCCTCCAAGCTCGTCGTCGGCGAAGATTGAACACCAACGGATTCATGGTGAGGTGATAGATAAAGCGCGTCATGTACGGTTGTTTTTTTCTACGATACAAGCTTTTTCCTAATTTTCTGATAAGCTGATTGATTTTGTTGTTGATCGTAACAGGGGCTCGTCATGAATGATGAAGTTGTGGCCGCAATTCACTATCCTTCTAGCGCAAAGCACCGGACATTGCGTGCGCACTGTCAAAAATCGGCAAACATATTGGGCACGTTGCCGGTCTCACAGAGCATGACGTTTTAGTTTAGCGGTAGACAACATATTGTATGATTGCCACAAACCTTCCTGAACCACAAGTGATACCAACTGTAATTAAATAGTTACACTCTTCTCTATTATAAAGTCGTGCGTCGTTTAAGTATTAGCGTCAGCGCCTTGACGACTACATCCAGTCGCTAATATATCTGAGAGTACGTTACAGTTTCGTAATTATAATGGCTTACCAAGGAAGTGAACATCAGCAGCGCCATTGACTGCATTTCCACCAGCGATTCCACCGTTCCCCCCTCCGCCAGAAACCGCCACACGGCTTTCTTTACGCCAAGAGAGATTGTGTTTCCCGCTCTTCCTTGCCTCGTCACCAGCGGCCGTAGTAGCAATAGCAGCAGCAGCAATTTAGTGACGTGACAACTTCCGCACACGCTTCCTCTCGGCCTTTGACAGCTGTATTCCCGTTGATCAGCTGCTCTCACTGCGTGGTTTTCGTTAACCGGGCGAACTGTGCAGAAGATAGTCTTCACACACTTCCCTCCACCGTCAGCGCCGAGACGTCTGAATATCCGAGCTGCCGTGGTTGCTGCCTGCCAACACTGAGTCTAAACGTGGCAGCGTACAATCACCACGGCTACGCACGCACCTAGACCTTCATTATAGTCCTTCACCTACGCATTCACACTCGAAATAAAGCACTTGTCATTTAGTTAGTGACGAGTAAACAAAGTAATCGCACATTTTTGCTTTTTGCTCTCTCCGGGGGGCTCTTCTCTGCTGTGCTACTTCGACGGAGAGAGCAATGTTTACGCTATTCATGTGCTTTCCAGGTCGTCGGTAACTGTAAAAACTTGTTTTCTATTATCCCTTATACAACACAGCGACCTTCTTTAAAGCACCTTCTGTGTGGTTGCTTGATTGACTGCCCGGTCGCTTCTTCTTAACACCGTAGACTTTTGTTACCCCGTCTGACACATACCGTAGGACACAGGTGACTTGAGCTGACATTGATTTCACAGTCTGAACAGCATGTCAACGTCGACTACATGTAGTTCGTGACCAATTCTTGCAAGTACCCGTAACCCCAATCACTGGACGAAACACCACAACTTGTTATTCGTCGGATCACTCTTGGTGTCGTTGGCGTCCCTGCTGGCCGATATTTTATTGTCGAGAAAACAAGTCGAGCGATGGGTTGGTATCGTTGCCCCGCTGTTCGGCGGGTCAGCCCCGTCCCTATGGCACTTCTACTCAAGTAGTGTGAACGGTAGATGGGCTAAGCGGAGGCGAACGCCCATCACTAGGCGGTCACCTCTGCCACTCGCTGCTGGCTACGTATAGGAAAACGGACTATCGGACAAATAGGTAGACAGACAGGCTTTCTCTACAACACAATGCTCGGACAGCTACGACCGTTGCTTTTGCTGGCAGTGGCGGCGGCGACGGCGACGATTAGTCTCTTTCTCCGAATCAGCTGCTCCGGCTCCGATGCGACACATTATCTCTCTGTACTAACACGGTTACTGCTTCGACTCGCATAACCAACGTGGACAAGCAGACGACCCTCGGCCGCCGTAGGACCGGTGGCAAGGGCAAGAGAGGGAAAGCACGGGGTAAACAGCTACTCACCGGCAGCATCACCATGATTACCATTACCAGCAGCGGTCTACAAGACAAGAACGACTCGACATCCATGCGTCGTTTCTCAATTTAGGAAAAGCAGTACGAGATATGGCAGTACTTGATGGGGTCGCGGTTCGGGCTGACTAGGCAGCTCAAAAGACTAATAGCAGTGGCAACATTTTATTGACCAGTTGAATGGGGCCTGCCTGTAGAAATGCCTGGAACTCGCTGCACTAGTTAAATGGGATAATGTAAATTTATGGACCAGATAAATCCTTTCCCGAGTTAAAATATCTTCGTAAAGCAGTCGAGGTTAGCGTACTGTTATTTGTTATTAAAAGTAAAGCCCTCGCTAAAATATCATGCGGTACATTGTCATGGAGAGGCATACCTAGTTAGCACAGAAGCGACATGCTTGTGCCGTCTATAAATTTTTTCGAAAAATTCTACCCATACTTAACCCACACTCTTTTAAAAAAATTATGCAAAACATGCAAGTAAACAAAGGTAACTGACTGGTAATCAAATAGATGACCTTTACAGTAGTAAGCATCTCAGACACACGATTACGTATGTTCGACTTACACACCACAAAAACAGAAATTCGATGGAAAAAGAAACACCTCTGGCATACAAGGTACAGCTTCATAACAAACTGTGTGACAGAAATTTCTTGCGGAATCATGGTCTGCATTGGACATCAAATGATCTGAATAGCAACAAAAATCTGAGTACTACCGACTGCGTATATTCACGAGTACACGGGCTCGGTGACAGCAACATCGGTGCCGCTTCGTCCCCAAGCTGTTTCGTAGCTGGCGTATTCACTTGCCAGTTCAGTTTCTATCACCTTTCGTTTTCTCTTTCTCCAGGGTTGTCGTCTAAGTAGAGTTGAGACTGCCTTCGAGCCACAATCGGCCACGGCAACACGGTCAGCGACTCACTGGCGAAGCTAAGTTCTTCATGACGTTATGGTTAAAGCAGTAACTAATACACAGATGCCTCTGAAGTCGCAAGCCGCAATAATTGACGAAGTTTAGTGCAAAGTGGAAGTTTGCGCGCTGCATAATCAGCAGTCAGCGTTCCTTCCTGTTTTTCATCCATCTGCTAATTAAACACGAGAAGGAGGCAGCGTAAAAGGTTTGTGGACATATCGGTGTCACCACCTAGGTATCAGCGTTTAGGCGTGCAATAGAAAAATCACTTCGCACAAAATGACAGATCCCTTCCCTAACGATAGTCTCTGCTTGCCTGACATCTATCGAAAGCAATATTCAGAGGCAACGCCGACCGCTTTTACACCCAGTTAGCCACGCGGCCCTAAGCAGGTGCAAAAAATTGTATAGGTGTTCTACCCTTGCCGTTTTGTTCACTTACTCGTTAATTGGACTTCTGCTACAGCTGTGAATGGAGATTAAAGAAGCACGTATTCGTTTTTCGTGACAGCTATTTTGCCAGCTAATATTCTGATCTCAGATAATACCTTACAGCCGAGATTTGCCGTTTATCGGTTACGTTATATGGATGCGCCACAGCTAAGAGCGACGACTATTTCTAGGCCACCGCAGTAAACGGTGAGTGAGCGTTCGTTTGTCCGCGGGCATTCAGTTCTGTAAGTGAACTTTGCTAACAGTCGCAATTGCTATGATACACTAGAACGCATTATATAGCTGCAAAAATAACTATAAAAATAAGCGCCATGCTGATCGATAAAATTAGAGCATTTTGTTAAAAAATAAGTTTACATATAAGTCGCTGAAGTAAGATATGCTTTCTATTCACAAAAGAATATCGCCTCAATTTACAAATCTGCATAGTATGAGTTTTATTTCCGCTGATTCGTGTCATCTTCAAGGAATTCACAGCCGATCTATAATTACGTTATCTGTTGATGCAAATGAGTGCTGTTGACGATTACTAAAAAAAGCCCCCGTAAGCCCATAATGTATTAGCGTAGAGTTGTCCCCAAAAGAAAAATCTTAGACCTACTATAGCTAGTTATGATGGTCGTATTACTCAAAGATGGATCATACTAAATTTGAGCTTCAGAATTGCTTCTTATGTTTTACAACAGTACTACATTAGTAGATTTTAATCGATTTTAATCGAAGTGCATCAATGGTATAAAAAATGGAATAACGAGCATTCTAAAATTTGTAACATTATAGACGTACTCCAAACCGTCCAGTTTCCAATTTAATTTTACAACGATCGCTTGAAGCGTACATGATAAAAACAAAAAAAAAACTTTTAGGAATGCGGCAAGTCCAACGATAATAAAGGCCTTCTTTCTTTTGTTCCTTGAGTGAAAACGTTGCTGAATTAGGCCCATCTGACTGCAGGGCTAAGGTTACGGCCGCCAGCGTCGCAGTATTTATTTATTTGATCGTACGATACCCAAGTGCAGAATGGGTGGGCTCCGTGTTTCATGCCATTGTAGTTCGGAAGCGGAATCCTACGTAACGCAAATCAGACGCGAAGGTTGGCTAAAGTCACGGGATGAAGTATAAATAAAGGAAAGACTGAATAAAATGAGGTCCAGTAATTCAACTGCCAAGATTCCCGATGTTGTTGAAAACTATCAAACGCCAGGAAAAGGTGAGCTTGTGAATGGTATAAGGAAAGTGATTGGTTCGGTTAAATTTCGTCTACCACCTAAACTACGCAGCTTTTTATTAGGAGTAAATATCGATCATATTGGACTAATGTTAAATTAGTTAGTTACATTTGTCACGATAGCTGAGCGCGCATGATTTTGAAAATGAATCAGAAAGAGATGATAAACATATAATTAAGGATTTGTTCATATGCTTGATAGTGCGTAATCAACGATGCAAACATGCTGCGTCACAACAAGACGTCGGGTAAAAGGTGAGGCCACAGGTCAAATAAACTCGATTTCAAATAGGGAGCGAATTTACGAGTAAATAGTAATTACACTGATGAAAAATATGTTTGTTTCTTCCAATCCACGTTCCCTATTGAATGAACTGTAGTTTTCAAAATATTCTGCTTGTATCCCCGACTGAAACCAGCATTTCTAAATATACGTTGATTTGCTAACACCTTATATGGGTAACATTCACCCAAGAGGCAAAAGATATGCCAGCTAGGTAGAGTCTGCTTCTACACAACTATCGTAAGGTTATAACGGAAATCTTTGAACAAACACGGTCTTTACAGTACACATATTTATCCTTACTTGAGCGTGATCTTTTTAAGATAATATCTCTGACAATCCAAAGAACAAATCATGCTCATTTATCATATTCGCGCGGTGGTTATATAATTTAATTAATTCAATGTCAATTTCGCTCGTAGTTAAGCAAGTCAATGTAACTATTTATAACAACAGGGAAACCAATTTCATGAGCAAGTCCTATTAGTTTAATGAACTTGTCTAATAAAAACTTTGTCTTATAAAAGACTAACAAAACTAGAAGAAACTGAAGCCTTTAGGAAGAATTAAGTTCATCCAAAGTCGTCAATCAGTTATGAAAATTGTAATAACTGAAATAATTTCTGACAGAATCGTAACTATGGCCAAATGAAAATCCCAATCGCTGTAATCTCTATTATGAGTAGACTCCCGTCTCTATAAGTGATAAATGTATGGAGTATACTTAAACGAAACTTAGCGAGAATGCGTTAGTCAATACTTATGGGTAGCTGGTAATTCAACTGCTTGTTTCTAGCGATTTCTGACTGACGGCATATCGTTCGCTGGAAGTCAAACTACAATTTTTTAAGTGATTCTATGACATCGTTTACAACGAACAATAATGAACATTAGTATCTAGCATACTGTAGAAAATCAATTAAAAAACAACTTCGTTAAATAGCTCGTTTAACTTACTGAAATAATTTTTTTTAGTAGAAATGTAGCGTTTTCTAACTCGCACGTTTAAAAGTCAGTCAATTGGCTTTCCATAGCGCTCATCAAAACGCTATCAAAAACCGAATTCATTTTGCCGAGCAGTTTCTGGCAATTTCTAACGAAGTTTAAGATAACTGCATTTAGCAACTTTCATAAACTCGCAAATCGTCGTACTTATGCTGAAAAATTTCGAATAGGTGAAATTATTCTTGAGACTTCTTAACTAATTCTATATTTCGCTACGTCATTAATTAGGTACATTCTCATCAGCATCCCCTATGGATGTTTCGACCGATGTCTTAAACATACTATCATTTGAAATACTGCGTATTGGCTTCTACCTAATGAGATTTAATGAATACGAAATCAAACGTTTACTCTCCATACAAGGACATAATCATCATTTTGTAGTTTACCAATGCTCAAATCGTTTGCTTAGCACATAACGATGCATGGCACATACTTGCTATCCTTTTCTAAGCTCTTACAGGAGTTAAATGCCAGTTCCACATATACCACCTCTTAGCGTTCTCCTTGGAATTTTTGGTGGCCTCTTGTTTATAACTAGTAGAATATTTTAAGCTAAAATCAAATTCGTATCATCTAGCAAGCACAAAACGTTGATAAGATCGTTCGACTCTACCCTATGTTGGGGAATTTAAAAAAAGGGTATTTAAAGATCGACGATAGCTCTAGAAGTTTCAAAGATTAGGGAGGAGTCAAGGAGCAGATAAATAGCAAATCAAAGGAACTTGTCATGGTATGATTGCAAAAAAATTTGGAAATGAACGACAAAGATGAGTGTGCTTTCTTCAAACCACTCATTCGTTCTGTCTTTTGGGGTATATGAATTGTTGATTCTCAGCTTACTTTATTTAGTGTTTATCTGGTCCTCACTTAACGAAGGTTGCACCGGCAATCCCAGGTTCATTCCACTTGAGACCTCGCCACATAAACCGATGCCCATGTTGCTCTTTAAACAGTATCTCTCAACGAATAAACCTTGTTGCTTAAAATTCAATAAATAAATCTAAATGTGTATGTATTAGTTCGACTAACGTTAACAGCTAACTATCGGACAAAACAATATTGTCTTTTTATTAATATAATCTATAAGTTACTTTATTTATTATTAAGGCAACTATAACAAGTATAATGTACACATGAGATGTAGAGTAAAAAATAACAGCCTGCTAGCTGAGCAAGAACCAATATCTCTATCAAATAATGGACGCTTTGTTCGTTTGGGAAGGACTCTCGGTCCGGCTTCGTCAACGAAATTCATTGCGGTATAGCAGCACGACAATCATCATAGTTCGAGCGGAAAAATACTAATTGTTTACTGGTTCCGCTGGCATGTCGGCGGTTGATGATCATGCAACTGCTGCACGCGTATTTATTGGTGGTTGTCGTTCGCCCGTGAAACAGAACGGGTTGACTCAATGGATGAGCGACCTTTCCGATAGATGCCGCCACTCAAGCTTGACGTCGAGTTCCGTCGCAGCTCCTTCAACAGCATCAGTCTATCATTGGCTTGCGCAGTACCCGGCATCGCCTATGACCGTCTGGATATTCTGTCCTGTGCTCCGAGGTGCCTTTTGTGACGATGACTAACTTTATGAATGACAATATGGAAGCAACTGCGGTTCCAGCAGCAACTAGAGCTACTTTTGCTGTCATTGCGAGTGTTACGCGCGCAGAAACATGGCCAGGGGAAAAGCGGATTCAGCAGTTAAAAACCAATGAAATGGCATAGCTATTTTACGCACGGAGCGAAAAATTGTCAAAAATACCATATTTACCTTGGTAGTAAAAACTTCACAATCGTACATAATGGGTAACACAGGAATTATGCTTAGGAGTATGCTTGTTTACTGATTTCTGACCCGAAAACTGTGGGCAAATAATAATAATAATAATAATAATCTTTATTATTATCTGTGCACGTCTGTGCGCATAATTTGCCTATCTCACTCTCTGCATCTGGAATAATAATCCACAGTTTAACTAGATTTCAACAGGTTATCGCAAGCCCTATCGAAGTTATTGTAGACTACTTCAGTAGTAACCGCCATTTAGCTGAATCAGTTCTGCAGGAAACTTGATACAGCGGACATGTATGTGGTGTAAAATAACTGGCTTTCAAATATTTATATACTGGCCTGCATCAATCGCTGGCCAGTACATAACTATGTACAATGTATGTCGTACAATGCTGAACTGCCATTGTCTAAAGCTGAACGTATTGACCAATATTAAAATCAATCCCACACTGTACCAGCCGCTGACAACATCTAGTTCAACAAGACATATGTTTTTGTTTAACGCAACTTAAAAACAGTGGGGAAGCATGCCTGTCGTAATTAGATCGCATAATCTTCTGCGCCTGCACACATTTGGAAAATCTACTATTGCACAGAGCTATAGAATCATATTGCGGCTATCGCTAGAATCGATGTAAGAGAGGAGATGTAGCTCCGGCGACTCTGATGCATGTTGAGATCTTGCAGTAGCATACATAATAATTTTACAGAATGTTTTCTACTGCTACGCCTCTATTACTGGTAATCACACAAAAGAAACTGAAAAAAGGAAGTTGAGGTCTAATTTGTTTGTTGTTTCATCAACTGAATAGTGAACGTCCTTCCGTATATTCTTGCATATCGACACCTGATTAAGAATGCCCAAAAATGTGATATTATTCTAGGGAATTTTAGAAAGGTAGATTTTTACACAGAAGTGATTATATGTTTCAAAAAAATACTGAATTAGCTATTTTAAGAAATAGATTCACTAGTTACAAAAATAAGTAGACAATACCGCTGGGGCATTTTCTTAGTCAAGGTCTCAAAGGAAAATTAGCTGTAACAGTAAAATAAATTAAATTATTGTCACACGTATACGACCATCGTAATACTGGAAAATTAAGGGAGACTCACTTAAAATGCCGTCGCTGAGTTCAGATGTTCATCATCACGATATCGGTCGCGTTGTAACTGCCGATGACCCTAACACGTGTCGTCGGTCGGTTTATGTTAAGTGATACGCAGCTGACCAATGCAACTTGACTAGGCTGTCACATTGGCTTCGACATCGCGTATAATTGTTCACAGAGGCACACATAATTAACGAGGTAGCCATGGATATAAAGGGTAGAAACAATATATTTTTTTATGCAATTGAAACCGCTCCGCTGTATATATGAGGCTATTTACATGCAGAGCAGATGTACAACGGTACACAAATATATTTGCTGTCATCTTTATGCCTAACGCTTGTTCAGGCGTTTGTCATATTGCCCGCTCCAAAAAATAGCCCGTGTTATATAACGTAGTTGGAAACCATTACGGGCGATGGAGCAAGTCGATGCACAAAAGCGAAAATCACATGGACGGAGTTAATGTCAAATTAGCAAATCAGAATATGTCTAGCAAATAAAAACTATTAGACCTGTACATATGCGTTAAATATGGAGCTTCTAAACTTTTCCTAATAAGCTGTGCATGTTAGTTGTAAAACCCCGCATCTACCATAATCCACCCCAAATAAAAGCACTGGATGCCTGGAACTAAAAGGACGACTAGTCTTGTGTCCAAGTTCAGTCGAATGTATTTTTATTATTCAAAAACGATCATTGTTGCAATACAATTTACACATCAACAATTATATACAAGTTTACATTATCTGTAAGTGTTACAATTCTTGTTTTACTATAATAATATATATGTACAAAATTGGGCGCATCATTTGCCATCGTTTAATGTGATGCAATTTTTCGCAAATAAATAAGGCCGATTTTAATTGACAAAAACTGTTTTTCAATAAAACTGTCAGAGTTTTTGTTGTACATGCTGATTATATCCTTGCTTAAAGGATACAGGGCTTCGGTATACCATTAAGCTCCAGATTCAAAAAAAAACAACCTAGTTTTCATTGATATACATCTACGTTTCGAACCTAACATACGGGTTATCTGTTCATTGAGCGATCCACGATACTTAATGTGGCAGAAGGTTTTATTTATTCGTTATCCCGCGATGTCTAAGCGCTATATCGAGCACATCGCAATCAAAATGACAAACTGGTTACCCAAACGATTTACTGCGAAGGGATAACAGACGATTACAGAAGTGGCACTTAAGTTTATCAAAAACAATTATCCGTTCAGACACAATTCTCGATTAGCTACTACGATATAAACAAGAATAACTTCGAACAGTCGGTCGGTTTCGTATTTCAACGAATTTCATGCTTCGACCTTCAAATTTTCATGCCAAAAACTGTTATACATACTATATTTGGTTCAGCACTTAGCTAAAATCACACCATTCACCCCATATATCCTACTCATTCTTCTTTCGACTTGCGCTCCATGATTGCAGTAATAAAGGCGCCGCATGACGCATAGACGTAAATGCACCTCCTGTTTGAGAAAGCGCAATTCTGTCACAGATTTTAACGATTGTCAATTTTCGTTCACTGGACACATTCACTAATAACGTTCAAATTTACTAGTTAACTGCATTCTTTGCAGTTTCTCTTTAGTCAAATTCGATGCTCATACGGCGAGAGGTGTTCAATATTTATATACCCTGTGGAAACTCGTTTTACAGAATATATTAACAATGGAAGTTTTTGCATGAAGATTATACATTCGGGGGTGTTTGCAATGAGCAGAAAGTAACTCCATGATGGCATCGATTCAAAGGTTAAACAAGGGTGGATTGAAATGATCGATTGCGGTCAGATCGGTTTCAAAAGTATACACGATGGTAGCTCAATATAGGGACAGCACAATTTTCGCACATCGCATCCCTTGTGCCCAATTTCGTGTACGGAAACAGCAGAAGGCGCTATCTTAATTGGTCATTTTCCTAAATATAGATAATTAATTCGGCTCAATTGGAGTAATGGAAGTTGATATTTAAGACTATCTACAAAGGTTTCCAGGCGTTATTTAAATACGCTTGCCTATTAAAACTTGCCGAAACATGTAAAATTTTGCCGAAACGCGATCTGTCAGCAGGTATCGTTCAGAAGCGCATTTAAGGGACAAACATTAATTGCTATTTTTCACCAGTGCAATTTCTTAACTATAGCCTACAGCCGAAGACTTCATCAAAAAATTAAGAAAATATGCCAGTCTAATCATAGCTATGTTTTTAAATACAAATTAGTTAGCCCCAAAGACCTCGTACTCTACTTGCAAGATGCGGCGCAAGTATGCTGCGAGTTTACTTTCTGATGTGCGAAGATGTTCATGTAAATTTGCATTTCTATGATAACAGAGTAATTTTTTTTCTTAATCTTGTTGAGCCATTTCTGCCATTGTTCAGATTATAAGTAGGTTTAGAGTACAAAACATTTCATTCTAGGGCTTAATCTTATCAACCCCTTTAAAAACAACATACTCATGAATAATATTCCCCTCCAAAGTACGTCGAATTTAAGATGGATCTGATAGTGAGAGGCAACGTTTTCACATACAATTTTCAAGCATTCAAGTTACAATGATTCCTTATATTCCAAAAATGTGTAACATATTTTTCTTGAGCCAACTTGCTATATTTTGATTATTGTACTTGGTTTAGAAACTTGAACCCTTCTCAATCTAAAGAAGACAACGACCAATGGGGGATAAACACGAAATTAAGGAAATATACATTAAAAAAGTCCCAGCAATCCATAATATCGGCATCGATCAACTCAGTACCTCCGTCGTACACTCAGATTGTTAGGCCAAAAGCCCCAGCTCACAGTGAGCTTCGAGCATATACAGCTGCATCTAAAAATACTTAAACTACCTAAAATAAGTCGTTCTACGTCTAAAATTAGCACGCACATGTACTTATTATACAATAGTTTAGTCAGAATTTAATAATAAACACGATGTTCTTATAATGATCCTCATCGTTATTATGGTTGATGAATTTCGACCAGATTATTTTCGGAGTGGTTGTCGTTTGTTATCTTGCTGTTGTTGCTGACGTTGTCTACTTCTGCTGCTGCTGATCCCTCCGCGTGGTCGTACACTATCGCACGCACGACAAATGATTAATTGCTATATACAGTGTGGCGATGGAAGGCTCCATTCCTCGTCCGTCAATCTGTTCAAGTAGTATACAATCTGCAACAAACATTACACAACTCATCAAAATGTTGTATTCTAAGATTCTAGTTAACTAAAGATTTCATTTAGATTACCTATTATAATTAAGATGGGGCTGATTTTTGACTCAACCTGGAAATGGACTAAAATTCAAGGTGGAAAGCGTTTGATTCGTTCCGCATCTAAAGGATAATAATGCGCACTAAATATAAAAAGCAGGAATTATATTTAACATAATTTCAGATTCTAGAATCACTTCATGGAATATCAGAGATAGACTAATACACTGAAATAGCGGGACAGTATTGACTTGTTCATTAGTATAGTTAAAGTTGATCAGTGTGCAGGTCAATACAAAATTTACATTGGAGTCAAATTTTAACGTTAAAAATTGCTGCAACTATCACAGGTAAGTAAGCTCTGGTATAGTTTGCCAAAAATATATTCCTGTTACTAAACAAACAAAATGGTTCTCTAAATTACCAATACGACCTAAAGTCGATTGATTTTCGTCGGTCCTTAAAATAATGGCACAAGACCTACTTTCGATTCTACAGTGAACTCGTAATCAAAGCACACATATACATGCATGTTGCAGATCAATCTTGATCACCACGCAAGCTTACCTATGCTGCTCAGGTAGAGGCAGTCACCGTTTCGACGCGGTGACCCACTTTGACGTGTCCTCGGCTCCCTGGGTAGCGTCGTCATCTTATTTATCATGATACAACCCCCACACAATATATACCGTTCTCCGGCGTTAGACCAGCGGGTCATCCAAGAACTAGCTCACTTATTGTTGCACCGAATTACTGCAGAAATTCTTCTCTTAGGTTCTTCCTCATTGCTGGTCGTCGAATTTCGAAGACACAAACACACGGTAATAATGTTTCACACACAATGTCCGTCGAACAATTGGCTTCATCTGTTATAACGTTCGTCCCCGTCCCTTCACAATATTTCGCGTTTCGAACTATTGCGACATTTTGTTTTACGTGTAGAGCGTACCCCGATCACCATTAGAATCTCCGTGCTCCGCCCATCGCGTACCGCGAAGGGCCTTACGGATTGTGGCCCAATCTTCCATTATTTCATTTTCTCGCAGCATATAAACTATATATGGACCGGATACTGTGACGGGCTTCTTGCGCCGTTCGGGGTCATTAGGATCAGCCTTACGGGAACGTCCCTTATTACCCTGCGCCATTGGAACAGAAGATATACTTGTTAGTGCACATAAAATGTATATTACTACACGAGATATAAATTAAGTTTATATCAGTATGCTCGGTCGTTTTCAGCGACATACTGTCATATATAGCAGGGGCAACGACGCATCGGGTGGGACAAATTTTTCGCTTGAGTCGAAAATTGAAATATATGAAATTAATGATTAAATACATTGGTACTGCTGTACATAATGTGACTGCACCATGAATATCGTTCGAATTCATATAACTGTTACCAGAGTGGTGTTTAAGAAATTGCCAATACAAATATCCGAACGTGTTATCGTCACCTATAAGATCGTGTGAATCGAATATAGTAGCAAGTGAACTAGCAATACATAAGACAAATCTTACTAGTTTATAATACCTTGTGCATATTGCAGAAGTCGGCCATGATGTAGGAGGCTGGTTGTGTTCTCTCCTCTTCCATTTGTCGGATTTTTTCTCGGATTTCGTTGATCATTTCATCTTTCAAATTATTAACATCGTTCTGAAATGTAACAGGAATGAAACAATATGTTTATGTACAGATGAATTTAGACATTTACTTTTTTGTTTCATTCAACAACTTCTGCCAGAGTCCTCTAGAGAGACCAAGAACTGTAGAGCCCTCAGAGAGGGCTCTACAGTTCTTGGCGCTCTACACTAGAGCAACATTTAAAATATCCTGGTAAAAAATAAAGCGAATCAGTATCAAAGAACATTGCAATTCCCTAACGGATATTTACAGGAACAAAATCCTACCGGCGTTCAACCCTCGTTAGATTAGAGGACGATGTGATTTGTGCCATACACAGTCATAAAATGTTTATTAAATTGATATCATTGTGAGTCGCGTTTCTTACATCCTAATAATTAAGTGGAGATAAAAAGGGTGTGTTTTCGCCTTATTTTATAATATTACCGTTGTCGTAGTACAAAAATAGAAGCGGAAGGAACTTGCAAAATTATACCAACAAAATACCCCTTCATTGGAAAAGTGTCGCTACAAGTAGACTTTATAAAATATATTAAGATGGATTTATTTTTTGTTAAGGGGTTGACGTTTTTCCACAACGAACATATATAATAGGTAACAAAAATTGTTTGCTACATCGCTAAAATTTATTTTTGATAGATCATTCCAGTGGAATTTTATATATCAAGTCCGGAAAACATGCTTATACTCTGAGTTGAAACCGTAAAGCACTAAAGATCCTAAACGAACCTCATAAGTTTGTTTAGCGGCGAGTGTCTCCGCTTCGAATCTTGACCTAATTGACTGCGTCCGTAGGCCTAGGTGCACCTTGGCAACCTCAATTCGTGTACTCAGTCCTTCTCGTAGTTCTGCTAATGGTACGAGGTATTCGTCTGCCTGACCACTGCGAATTTCTGCGAGTTTTCTTTCGATCAGCCTTATTCGCTCCGTATACAGCCTAAAGTAGTTAGAAATTTGCTTGATTATATATATATATAGCTTTGAATATCAATTACCAAGAAAATCCAAGGTTGACTAAAACTGAGAATCCTTCTAAATTCGTAAGTATAACACAATAGCTAATAATATAGGAAAGCTACTTGCCTTAGATTGAGACGACCAGCGCAAGAATTCTAGAAGTATTTATGCTTCAAGAATATTTATACAAAATGTATATCCATTTTAATTTAATGACTATGACACCTACTGTTCTTTTAGTATGAGAAACTGTCGCTCGAGGTGGATCATATCGTCAACGCAGTCGAGCCTCCGCCGCTCGAAATCGACCTCATCCATTTCTGAAATCGGTTAGGAATCAATGATTTCGAATATTTGGTTAGTGATAATTATAAACAAAAATTCCTTACGGGTAATATAATTGCATGCCAGGCATGATTTGCAATCTGTAATTGGTAAAAATAGAATTTTAAATTAATGATTTGTGACAGCGTGATCGTGCTACATTAAGGTGATCTCATTCATCTATATCATCAATAATCGACAACGTACGCGTGAACAGTAGAAAACACTGATGGAATTCGCAGAATCAAAATGAAATTTAATTGATTCTTTATTCACGGTGACGATTACTAATGAATTGTTGTTTGATAGCTAGCCAGCTACAAAGAGACAACGAATTGAATCTGATAGTTGAAAAACACTTTGCGTGATACATAGGTTTTCGGCCCATGGCACTATAGCAAGTAGTTAAGTGTGTGCATCTTATGTTTACAACGTCAACCATGTTCAGTTCAGCGTTGCATAGACGTAATGAGAAGTCCGACGCAAAATTGTGCAGACTACGGTATTGTTTAGGTCGAATCTGACGCAACACCCTGATATAGTACCATTTGTCTTTCTAATCTTTTTCTTCATGTCAACTTACAGGAGATAATATACATTGACTGATTCACTGTAATTGTTAACAGTTAACAACAAACCCATTACCATAATCAGCAGGAATGCATTTTAAGCTGATTCTAATACCCACACAGAAAAAACATCGTTTGCTTGCAATAGAGTAGCCCGCTGGTCCTGAACATTCGAAAAGTTCGAATTTGCCTACTTCTTCAGTAACGAAAAGGGAGCTTAAGCAGAATCTTTATAACTGATCGCGGAGATGTACAGCGAGCGCTGGAACATGCATGTTGGCATATGTGTAAGCATCTCTCTTCGTTAGTAAGTAAAGAAAGCCGTATTGTAACATGTAGTCTGTCATCAGCGAGCCTTTTGGGAATGATCGCCCTGGTTAATAAGCGGCACCGGCCATTCATTGACTTAGCCTCTTAGGTATCGCCGCTTCTTCGTTTTTACTATTTCACCCACCCCGAAAACCAGCTGATTCGAAGACCGGTATCCGTGTGTAGACGGGAAGCCCCATCGACTGTTGCCGGTACCACACGCAATAGTGTAGCACACATTGTATTTTGCCGCCATTCGTTGCTTCCGCTATTCAAATGACCAGCTGAAGCATTCCGTTCAAGTAATCCTGGAAGTGGTGTGGGACGCAAACCTCAAGAACAACTAGGAGCAAGACGTTCCTTTATTTAGTTGGCTAGCTGACCTCCCGAGTTAGCCACCCAACCCTGCTGTTTTGCCTGGCTTAACAGTCCCATCACTCACTTACTCACCTGATGAGGAATCATCGTCAGATGCCGAACTGGTATCGGTGTCCTCATTGTCGGAGCTGTGTTCGTCCATCTCCTGATCGGAGTCCTCCTTGACGGCTGTCCGGCGGGACATTCTGCCGCCTCGACAATGCGCTACGGTGGTCGCCACACTGCTCCCGCCGAAAGTCTTCCGTCACACACAACACACGGCCGCCTACGGCTCGCTCCACCAACAACAAAACACAACACCACTCGAATCGAAAGCTTGTTGGCTCTTGGAAAGCAGCTGCGACACAGAGTAAATAGACAAACAGTGACGTCACGTCGGATCGTCTGTTATGCATGTGCTGAGCGGGACGAGCCCGCCAATTTCAAAACGAGCCAGACGACAATGCGTATAATACCTCTGAACTGCAACACAAAGAAACCGTTAAGAAAGGGGTGTTAAACTGTGGAGGGGAGCGTAGGCTCTAACAAGCGCCAACCTTCAAATCTTTCTTCCTAAATGTAATTTAGTTTGCTGCTGGCAAAATGATTGCCAGTGCTGTCGGTTTCATTGCTGCATTTAGAATGGTGACGTGCAGAAGGCGCTAGGATTGCTGTTCCGTTTGTTTTTTCAATTACCTGAACTGAAAGAAGCATAAAATAAGAATATTCATGGGTCGTTTTATCAACAGTCTAAGAACAAGGGAGGAGGCGATGCACCGATAAATAGGTATTCTATAATTTTCACTGGGAAAACCCATTAATCTTCCATAGAGTATTGGCTTTGACAAAACTGCTTATTGTGGTCAGGCTTTAGAACTGGTTACAACGTCTATCTATACTTCGAAAGTCCATCATTACAATTGTGACTTGATCGCCGATGTGTGTAGTCGACCTAATAAATACAAAATCTGGTTGCGAAAATTCAGAAGCGTGAAGATCAAGGCGGTTGAATACGAAGGGCGTGTTTTAAGAACAAATAGAAATGGCATTGTCTTAGATTATAAAGTCTAGGACCTTTGGAGCAAGTCACGCAATGGTGTTAACGAAAGCAGGAGATCAGCTATATTTAATGTTATTCAGCGCTTCGGTAGTTCTGATGATGAAATTTGTCCAAAACGACTGATAATTATCAGTATTTCGAAAATAGAATTTCAATAGATCGTAGGTGCAAACAGTAAAATAGCGACTGCAAGACATCGGAGAAGTAGCTGTGGACGATGAAAAAAGTTCTATCTGAAACATAAAATTATCATTATTATTAATATTTTAATATTTGAGAAGTTGCTATATATA